CAGTCTTAGAGCCAGCGATGCTGCATTCACCTAGGTAAGAATGATTTCTAAAAATAAAAAATACAAAAATAAAATTCCGTTTCTCTTTTAACTTGTGCTTTTTCTTTCCTTCTGTATGCTGCAATAGGTGCCAGGAAAAGAGAAAATTGCTTTTAGAACCTGGCATCATTTTCCTTGGCTAGATAACACTCATGCAGTTCTCTCATTCTTTACATTCTTTTTGAGATGGGACAGTCATTTTCAGTGTGTGGCTTTTAGGGTAGACAATGGTAAATTGTATCCCAACCCCCTAAGTGTCCATAACGTCTACAGATCTTAGGGACATATCAGCATATAAAAAGGTACTTAAAGGCATTAAAGAAGCCATTCTCAACCAGGATTCCTTGGAACTCTAGCGTTTCGCCAAAGGTTTCTTGGGTTCTTTGAGCTATGGCTAACTGACCCCTCATTTGATGATGCCTGCATTGTTCTAGATCCAGCTCAGCTTGGCAAAGCAAGCAGCATTACATAATGGTCTCTTTAGCTGGTTGCAAGGGTGGCCACATGAGCAAACAAGCCTTTTCACCCAATATACCAGTGCACTTTGAAACATTAAAGAGCAATTCCAGGCTACAAGTGAGACTATTTAGTGAGCCACTTATGCAAACCACTAAATATGTAATTGTATAGCAAATACCTACCACTGTAGTACAATCAGAATGTCCATTTAATATGCCTTCATTTGAGTTTTCGGTAATCTCCAGTAGAGTAAGCACACAGAGCCTGATATGGGGTTAAAAAGAGTGGCAGTGCAAATCCTGTAACTTCCTCTCGTTCTCTGCTACTTGTATTACTAATTCTTTAAAAATCCAAAACAGTTTCTTAGTACTGATGTATTTTACATTCATTTCTAGCAACCGGAGTGTATCAGAATTATCAGCAAATTCAGAGGGTGGGTTCCAGGATTGTTAGACTGTGTGTTCTAGAAGGTGTGTTCCAAGATTACCAGAAGGTATGTTCTAAGATTACCAGAAGGCGTGTTCTAAGACCACCAGTAGGTGGATTCTAGGATCCCCAGAAGGTGGGTTCTGGGATCACCAGAAGGTGTGTTCTAAGACCACCAGAATGTGGATTCTAGGATCACCAGAAGGTGTATTCTAAGATCACCAGAAGGTGTGTTCTAAGATCACCAGAAGGTGTGTTCTAAGATCACAAGAAGGTGTGTTTTAAGATCACAAGAAGGTGTGTTTTAAGATCACAAGAAGGTGTGTTTTAAGATCACAAGAAGGTGTGTTTTAAGATCACAAGAAGGTGTGTTTTTAAGATCACAAGAAGGTGTGTTCTAAGATCACCAGAAGGTGTGTTCTAAGATAACCAGAAGGTGTGTTCTAAGAAAATCAGAAGGTGTGTTCTAAGATCACCAGAAGGTGTGTTCTAAGATTACCAGAAGGTGTGTTCTAAGACCACCAGAAGGTGTGTTCTAAGACCACCAGAAGGAGTGTTCTAAGACCACCAGAAGGAGTGTTCTAAGACCACCAGAAGGTGTGTTCTAAGATAACCAGAAGGTGTGTTCTAAGACCACCAGAAGGTGGATTCTGGAATCACCAGAAGGTGTGTTCTAAGACCACCAGAAGGTGTGTTCTAAGATAACCAGAAGGTGTGTTCTAAGACCACCAGAAGGTGGATTCTGGAATCACTAGAAGGTGGGTTCTGGCATCACCAGAAGGTGTGTTCTAAGATAAACAGAAGGTGTGTTCTAAGATAAACAGAAGGTGTGTTCTAAGATCACAAGAAGGTGTGTTCTAAGATCACAAGAAGGTGTGTTCTAAGATTACCAGAAGGTGTGTTCTAAGACCACTAGAAGGTGGTTTCAGGGCCATCAGCATACAGTCTATTTTAAAATAATAAATGTGATAATGTGATCAACATCTATTATATCGCGCTAATTGCAACCTAAATGTGTAGGAGCTGCCACTATTTATAAACCAAAAATCTTTTTAAAATAAAAAACACTGAATGAATAAAGTGTTTAAAGTGGCGCTAAGTGAATTAATCAATAATAAGTATAAAACCATATAATTAAATCACAAGAATGCCCATAAAATTCAATAATATTAACACAAATATGTGAAAAGTCCATGATTGCTGTCAAAAAATTATTACAAACTAAAAAGTGATGGAAAGTCCATGAAAAAAGTGTGGTAAAGTAATCCAAAAGTCCATGAAAGTAAATCATCTATTTCACCATGTGCAGCAAATTAACAACAAAGTGCTCCATAGGATACCCCACATGGATGTAAACTCACCAAAAGCATTTGCCTTCCACTCTCGTGGTTGGCAAATAAGCTTCCTGGGACATATTTCCCTTTTAAAGATGAATATAAATCCCTGAAGATAAAGATTTCAAGTTGCTGTGGCTTTATCCTTAAACTGTAGCCTTTCTGAACATCTAAGGCTTTGCTTTCTTGCTCAGTGATTTCAGCCAACCAAACAGTATACTGGTGGCTGGCAAAATACAACAGCTGCAGCGTGGATGGGGGCGTCTGTTAGATCTTTTTTTATTTGGCCCTCAGGTTGTATTAAAATCGTCTATGTGTGTGTACCCAGCTTTAGAAATGACTGACATCAGAGGATTAGCATGACAGCCCGGCAACTGACTTTTTAAGAAAAAGATTAGCAACCAGCATCTTTTATATAACTGGAGGAAAAGAAATTTAATCTCCAAGCACGGAAAGGGTTCTTCACAGTAAGCTGTGAGAATGTGCAATAGACTCCCTCAAGAGTTGGTTCTTGAGAAGAGGAGATTAAGGGGGGATATCAACATGTATAATACATAAGGGGGGATATGATCTCCATGTATAATACATAAGAGGGGATATGATCTCCATGTATAATACATAAGGGGGGATATGATCTCCATGTATAATACATAAAGGGCGATATGATCTCCATGTAGAATACATAAGGGGGGATATGATCTCCATGTATAATACATAAGGGGGGGATATGATCACCATGTATAATACATAAGGGGGGGGGATATGATCACCATGTATAATACATAAGGGGGGGATATGATCACCATGTATAATACATAAGGGGGGATATGATCACCATATATAATACATAAGGGGGGATATGATCACCATGTATAATACATAAGGGGGGTATGATCACCATGTATAATACATAAGGGGGGTATGATCTCCATGTATAATACATAAGGGGGGATATGATCTCCATGTATAATACATAAGGGGGGATATGATCTCCATGTATAATACATAAGGGGGGATATGATCACCATGTATAATACATAAGGGGGGTATGATCTCCATGTATAATACATAAGGGGGGATATGATCTCCATGTATAATACATAAGGGGGGATATGATCACCATGTAGAATACATAAGGGGGGTATGATCACCATGTATAATACATAAGGGGGGATATGATTTCCATGTATAATACATAAGGGGGGATATGATCCACCATGTATAATACATAAGGGGGGAATGATCTCCATGTATAATACATAAGGGGGGATATGATCACCATGTATAATACATAAGGGGGGATATGATCTCCATGTATAATACATAAGGGGGATATGATCTCCATGTATAATACATAAGGGGGGATATGATCTCCATGTATAATACATAAAGGGGGATATGATCACTATGTATAAATACATAAGGGGGGATATGATCTCCATGTATAATACATAAGGGGGGATATGATTTCCATGTATAAATACATAAGGGGGGATATGATCTCCATTTATAATACATAAGGGGGGATATGATCTCCATGTATAATACATCAGTGGCTCATATAGTGAACTCGGTGTAGAGTTATTCACCCTGAGGTCATCACAGAGGACAAGGGGGCACTCTTTACATCTGGAGGAAAAAAAGATTTAATCTTCAAATACAGAAAGATTTCTTCACAGTAAGAGCTGTGAAAATGTGGAATAGACTCCCTCAAGAGTTGGTTCTGGCCAGCTCAGTGGATTGCTTCAAAAAAGACCTGGATTCTTTCTTGGATACACAAAATATAACTGGATACTAACATTTATAGGTAAAGTTGATCCAGGGAATATCAGATTGCCTCTCAGGGGATCAGGAAGGAATTTTTGTTCCCCTGTAGGAGCAAATTGAATCATGCTTTGCTGGATTTTTTGCCTTCCTCTGGATCAACTGTGGGTATAGGAATATAACTTTGTTTTATGGTTGAACTGGATGGATTTGTGTCTTTTTTTCAGCCAGACTAACTATGTATGTAGCTAAAAAAAACGCCTGAAATCAAGTGTTTTCAGGTGTTCCTAAAGAAGTCTATGGGGACAAAAACGTTCAAATCTGCCTGAAAAGCAGCACATTTACTTTTTCGAGTGACAGGTGTATTGCTACAGGCATCAGAGCGCTCAGATGTGAACAGAGGCCACATCAGCCAGTCTAACTATGTTACATAGGTACATAGTTAGCCTGGCTGAAAAAAGACAAAAGTCCATCCAGTTCAACCATAGAAAAAAAAAAAAAAAGTAATAATCCTACACCCACAGTTATTCCAGAGGAAGGCAAAAAAAACCCCAGCAAAGCATGATCCAATTTGCTTCTGCTGGGAACAAAAATTCCTTCCTGATCCCCCAAGAGGCAATTGGATATTCCCTGGATCAACTTTACGTATAAATATTAGTATCATGTAGAATGTAACCAGCATCTTTTATATAACTGTAATGACAGGTTTTCTTTAAAAACTCTTTTGGGTCTCAGTCATGCCAGCATTAAATACAGCATAAAAATAAATGGCATAAAAATAAAATGGCATAATGCAAGTCAATGCACCCAAAATGCAGCAAGCAGAACATTTTTCCAATGCACCAGAATGCATTAGTGTGTGTGGGTCCTATTAAAACAACAATGCAGCAAAATGTACAAGAACACTGATTGAGCCCTTAGTAAAAAAAAAAAAAAAAAAAAAAAGCACATAACAACACACATTTCCAGATATCTCACATATTTCTCCATCAGGTGTACGAGATCCGCCCTGATTTGGCGCAACTGTTGAATAACCCGTGAGCAGAGGTCCTGGAGCGCCACTTCAGAATCCATGATGGATTGGCTAATATAGGATGGAAGGAAGACGGTACATCTGCCCTGAAGTCACTTGTCTTTTATAATGGGAGTGTCAGCAATAGCAGAGCCTGATAAACAGCAAAGCGTAGGGGGAGAGAGAGAAAGAGAGAAAGAGACGGACTCAGTGACAGCGGGAGCAGGGCACACAGACACACAGCACAGCATTAACAGTTTAATCCCAGTGATTAGCCATGGAATGTTTCATTGGTGACCAGGCTGCCATAGGGCTTGCTGTGTGACCTGAAGCCATCCACAGGAAAGAGCTTAATGATCATTTCTGGGAAGTGTTGAGATAATGAGGCTCAGCGGTTTTCAATACATGCCAGCTTCTCAGGTTTACAGCGCAATCCCAGGGCCACCAATTCAACACACCCGTATACATATTCTTCCCTGGAATTTGCCATAAATAGAATTTTTATGAAAGTCAATATATAGTTTGATTATACGATTTAAAGTGTTACTGAACCCAGGACCCTGCATTTATTTTATTTCAGATACTTATATAGCACCATTAATTTACGCAGCGCATTACATATATATTGTATATTCACATCAGTCCCTGACCCTCAAGGGGCATACAATATATGGCCCCTAACTTACATTCATGCATATACAGTTATAGACAGGATCCAAATATCCTAACAGCATAGCTTTGGAGTGTGGGAGGAAGCCGGAGTACCCGGAGGAAACCCACGCAGGCACAGGGAGAACATGCAAACTCCAGGCAGGTGATGTCCTTGGAGTGTGGGAAGAAACCAGAGTACCCAGAGGAAACCCACTCAGGCACAGGGAGAACATGCAAACTCCAGGCAGGTGATGTCTTTGGAGTGTGGAAGGAAACCGGAGTACCTGGAGGAAACCCACGCAGGTACAGAGGGAACATGCAAACTTCAGGCAGGTGGTGCCATGGATGGGATTCAAACCAACGACCCTAGTACTGCCAGGCGGAAGTGCTAACCATTTAGCCACTGTGCTGCCCCATCCACTATATCTGGTCTCCCACAGTACACACAACATGGAAATGCAACTTTTTTAGTAAATATAAACTGCTAAATATCTTTTCTCATTAGTAGTATATAGCAGTCTTGTGACTTCTATCAGTGTCCAGCAGAGCACTGGTTAACACTTGTAGGAGGAGTTTTAATTCTGCTGTAGTAGGATTCAGAACCCCTGACCTCTGTCTGGACAGTGCTGATAGGCTGTGTGCAGATCACATACACTCTCCTGAGGAAAAAAAAAAACCTCTCTAGCAATACACTCCAAACTGAGCATGTGCAGAGTGACTCCAGACACTATGTCTTATCAGGAGATAAGAGGGAGACACTGGAAGAAGGGGAGGATCAAAGAAGGCAGGATCAAACACCATTTTTACTCAACGTACAGGGCTAACCCCTTAGGTTTCACACTAAGTATAACAAGCATGCGTTGCTGCATATACAGTCTGATTTTACTGTTGTGGGTTTAATAACACTTTAAGTCAGAAATGATAAGTAGATTTACACCCCAAGTGAAGGAGGTTTAGTTTGATAAAACTGTGTATTAAAAACAAATTAAATTTTTTGTGTTTGCCTTTTTTTTGCAAGGCAGTGCGTTCTGCTCATCTGCTATGTCCCCTTTGCAGCCACTTTGTGTTTGATGCATGCGTGGCAGTTCTCATTGCAGGTATCCTGAGGATGACAGCAGCTGACCATGTCAACAGGAGCACATGTGACAGGATGACAACACAAGGGGCACATCTGTCACCCCAGAGCAAACGTAATCTCATCAAGGACCTTTATTGCAGGATCACCAGTAGGGATGAGCACACGAGTATTCGGATACGAGTCAGAGCCCACCTGTGCTATCCCGCTGGGAAGCTGTCAAGGTAGATAGCCAATCATAGGCAGGGCCAGGACAAGGGGTGGGCAGGAGGGGCAGCTGCCCTGGGCGCTGTGGTATCATGTGAGGTGGGGAGGGCTCCACCAGGAGATTGGAAGGCACCACCAGGTGTTGGGAGGGGAATCCGGTGGAACGCAGGGTAAGAATTGCTCTAGGAGGGGAAATCTGAGATATGTTCTAGGATTGTTGATTTGGGGGAGTTTGTATTGGGGGGGGGAGGATTTGTGCTGGGGGGGAGGGTTGTGCTAGAAAAGGCGATATGGTAGAGGGAGAGAGGGGATATGTGCTGGGAGAGTAAACTTTTTTTGGGGGGGGGGAATTATTGAGGGGTATACGTGCTAGAACGAGAGATTTGGAGGGGAGAATTTGTGCTAGGATGGGGGATTGGGAGAGGACATTTGTGCTGGGTTGGGGGAATTGGAGTGGAAGGGGGGCAGGATGATATGTGCTCAGAGGGGAAATTTGAAGGGTAGAGGATGTGCTAGGAGGGGGAATTTTTTTTTTTTTGGGAGGGGGATTTGTGCTGGGGCATATGGGGAGAGAGAGGATTTGAGCTAGGAGAGTAAACTTTTTTTTGGGGGGGGGATGATTGAGGGGTATTTGTGCTAAAATGGGAAATCTGAAGGGGAGAATTTGTGCTAGGATGGGAGATTGGGAGAGATTGGGAGATTGGACATTGCATCGCTAGAGAAGCATGGACATTGCATCTCTGAAGAAGCATGAACGTCACATCATTGGAGAAGCATGGACATTGCATTGCTGGAGAAGCATGGACATTGCATTGCTGGAGAAGCATGGACATTGCATTGCTGGAGAAGCATGGACATTGCATTGCTGGAGAAGCATGGACATTGCATCACTAGAGAAGCATTGACATTGCATCACAGGAGAAGCATGGACATTGCATCACAGGAGAAGCATGGACATTGCATCACAGGAGAAGCATGGACATTGCATCACAGGAGAAGCATGGACATTGCATCACAGGAGAAGCATGGACATTGCATCACAGGAGAAGCATGGACATTGCTTCGCTGAAGAAGCATGGACCTCACATCGATGGAGAAGCATGGGCATCGCTGAAGAAGTATGGGTATCGCATCACTGGAGAAGAAAGGGTATTGCATTGCTCGAGAAGCATGGGTAACGCATTGCTCAAGAAGCATGAACATTACTTAAGAAGCATGGGCATTGCATCACTGGAGAATCATGGGCATTGTTGGAGAAGCATGAACATTATTTCCTTTTTCCAAGTCTATCAAATAAAAAAAAAAGTTTTGGGTTGAGTTTGGCTATAAATCTTTTCGGCCCCTTTACCCCCTGGTCATTCGAAGCTGGACCTGGAGGAAGACCAGCAGAAGATGTCAGCAGCGGTAATGGTAAAAGGGAGAGCATGAACGTCCCATAACTAGAGAAGCATGGGCATCGCTGAACAAGCATGGGCATAGCATCATTGGAGAAGCATAGGCATCGCATCATTGGAGAAGCATGGACATCGCTGGAGAAGCATGGGCATCGCTAAACAAGCATGGGCATCGCATCGCTGGAGAAGCTTGGACATCGCATCACTGGAAAAGCATGGGCATAACATCGCTAAAGAAGCATGGATGTTGCATCGCTGGAAAAGCATGGGCATCACATTACTGATGGAGTATGGACATTGCATCACTGGAGAAGCATGGGCATTGCTGGAGAGGCACGGACGTTACATTGCTGGAAAAGAATGGGCATCGCATCGCTGGAGAAGTATGGGCATCACATAGCTGGAGAAGAATGGGCATCACATAGCTGGAGAAGAATGGGCATCACATAGCTGGAGAGGCATCGCTGAACAAGCATGGGCATTGCATCGCTGGAGAAGCATGGGCATCGCTGAAGAAGCATGGACATCACATCGCTGGAGAAGTGTGGACATCGCATCACTGGAGAAGCATGGGCATAACATCGCTGAAGAAGCATGGATGTTGCATCGCTGGAAAAGCATGGGCATCACATTACTGATGGAGTATGGACATTGCATCACTGGAGAAGCATGGGCATTGCTGGAGAAGCACGGACCTTACATTGCTGGAAAAGAATGGGCATCGCATCTCTAGAGAAGTATGGGCATCACATAGCTGGAGAAGAATGGGCATCACGTAGCTGGAGAAGAATGGACATTGCATCGCTAGAGAAGCATGGATATCACATTGCTGGAGAAGCATGGACATCACATTGCTGAAGAAGCAGGGACATTACATCTCTGGAGAAGCATGGACATTGCATTGCTGGAGAAGCATGGACGTCACATCACTGGAGAAGATTTCAGCTCTCCTCTGTCCTGCATTACAGATTCTCGTTCAGGTTAAATGATGATCAGTGGAGAAAGGCTATCCAACCTGGCAATGTTAAGGATCCAGGCAGTGGGGAAATGAAGCATACCTTTCATTTTCAGAATTTGAAAATGAGGGACAACCTGATAAAGGAACACAAAGGGAAGGTGTAGTGCACCATGGTGAAAAGTAGTTGTGGTTATGTTGTGCTAAATTTTGGGTGTGATTCAAAGAAGCATGCCCTGTAATCCGTGGGAAATGCCCTAGTGTCAGTGGGTAGGTAAAATGCCCTGCATTAGTGGGAGTAGAAAAAATTGTCCCATCATCAGTGAGAGGGAAAAATATCACTGCATCAGTGGGAAAGAAAAAAGCCCCATAATCAGTGGGAGTAGAAAAAAATTACCCTGTGCCAGTGGGTGAAAAAAACGCCCCGGAGCCAGTGGGTAGGAAAACCGCCCCCGAGCCAGTAGGTAGGAAAACCGCCCCCCAAGCCAGTGGGTAGGAAAACCGCCCCCGAGCCAGTGGGTAGGAAAACCACCCCCGAGCCAGTGGGTAGGAAAACTGCCCCCGAGCCAGTGGGTAGGAAAACCTCCCCTGAGCTAGTGAGTGGGAAAACCGCCCCCGAGCCAGTGGGTGGGAAACCGCCCCCATACTAGGATCTGAACATATCTAAGCTCCTCCCTACTCACCACCTTCTTAAGAGTTAAGCCAGCTATAGACAGAGCGATTTTCTTTCTTGCAACGAATTGCAGGATAGAAAAACTGCTCGATTCAGTTAGGTGTTGG